AGTGGCAGTAGTAGCAGTTTTTTGTTCAATATATTTGTATATATTAGTATATTTTTTGTCCAATGACATTTTTTTTACCATTGATCCCCATGGGAAATGTCAACTCCCTGACTAACAAGTATGATAAACTGGAGGCACTTGTGCAGTTGTTTGGTGATCCATTACTATTGCATATTTATTGTTTCTGGAGTCTGAAGATGAAGGAAAGTGTGCTCCATTTCAAATCTGGTGCAGAGGCAAGTGAACCATTAACACACTGTAGTTCACTGTAGACAGCTGATAATAGAAATCTGCTCTCCAGTACACAGAACTACATACTGTAAGACCTACTGACCGTAACACGTCCCCCGTAGGCCAACATCTGGAGGTCTTTACTCAGGTTGACATTTGACAGCATCTCCATTATCACATCTATGCCTTTGCCGTCTGTGGCTTCCTGAAACAAAAAAACACATTTCTGTAATGACTACCGACTAGTGGTGAAAACAAATACGGATAGATTATTCAGATATGCACAGATAATGTGCCCTTTTATCTGAAAATACATTTGTATTTTTGCAGTAACAATCCTTCCCAGCATAATGCAGATGTGCCATAACGTAAACAAATAGACCAAAGTTCAACAGTCACACATTCACTTCACTTTAACCCCTGAGTGAGTGGTTCATGTCACCAGCCATTTTCCAGCCCACACTGTGACTATCTGAATATTTATTACATAACGCTTTTCTAGTCTTATTGACCACCCAATTCTTCCATTCACACACACATTCATACAGTGCTTATTTCTACATGTACAGCACTTACCACACAAACACATTGACACACCGATGTTACGTCGGGGGCAATTTGTTTCAATTGTAATTGTTTAAATGTTTAAAGGGGTTTTCCTCCTGGTGTTCTGTCAGGGTGTAGAAATGTGTATACATACCATGATTTTATTAGTGTAGCCCTCTTCTCTGTGATTAAAGGCCATGTGAGCTCCATTGTTGAGAACCAGGTTCATGCCCTCTGGTGTCCCTGCTGTTCCAAACACCCTGAGTCCCAGAGCACGGGACAACTGACATGCTGCCACACCCACCTACAAACACACTCACACCAAATTTCAGAGTACAATTACATTGACTTACATTCATTTTCTGGAGACTCTTTCTTTAACCATAACTACTACTCACCTAACCCTAACCATATTCTAACTTTCAAACATGATCTGAACTTAACATTAATGACTTATGTTAAGGGGGGTTGTTTTTTGTCCCTTTTTTAGATAATCAAAAAAAAGAAAAAAAAAAAAACTCTCACCCCTCCACTGGCTCCATGGATGAGTACAGTCTCTCCAGCCTTGGACTGGGCTCTATAAACAATTTAACAAACACATTTTAGTCAAACATAAAACACATTTTTGTCATGTCATTGAACACTGTATAAAAATACCATGTACAGATCAATGTCTGTCTTTTAATAATTTCCAACTTCCCCACTCAGTCACAGAGTATACAGTGCATTCAGAAAGTCTTCAGACCCCTTCACTTCTTCCGTTTGTGTGTATGTTGCAGCCTTATGTTAAAATCGTTGATATAATTTTTTCCCTCATCAATCTACACACAATATCCCATAATGACTAAGCGAAAAAATGAATTTTAGAAATTTTTGCACCTTTATTAAAAACAGAAAATCTGAAATATCACATTGATTGAAATATTCAGACACTTTGGAGACTGGTCACGGTTGAGGGAAAGCTAAAGGAGCAAAGAAAGGATGTGTCAAGATCCTAATATGTGGCTGTAAGGACGAGTTACACAGATTTTTTTCAGACAAATTTTACAGCTTCTCCCACTCTAGCCCTGAACATTCTGTGCAATACACACCCATTATAAACTCAGAAATGATCTTAAAAAAAGCATGAAACTAAAACTGTGATGATTCAAAAGCTGTACAAGATATCAAAATTTGAATATATGTTAAATAGCTGAAAGTCTTGTAAACATTTTAAAGTTTGAATGAAGTCTGTAGCTGAAAGTATACTGAAGCAGTTGAAACTAGAAGAGGATGAAGCTTTCAAGGATTTGAACAGTCTCTCCATTCATCTGAATAGCAAAAAAATTGCAGAAAAAGCTCAATATTTTGAAAATTCTAAATAGTAGAAAAAAGTTGTATACATCTGAACAAGCTGAACGTTTTGAAAGTTGAATGGTTTCTGTATGAAAAGGTAGGAAGGAGTAGTTAGAGACCATGGAAAGGCAGAAGTAAGAATAATAAAATATAAAGATTTGAATAACAATAGTGTGAGTGCTACTGTCACGTTTGGGGGTATGGCTGGACTCAAATGCAACCAACACAAACATAGTAGTGCAAAATGTTTTAATAACAAAAAGTGACTACTTACCAAACACTGTTAAACCAACTTAACAGGAAACCAAAGCATGAGGGTACACAAGGAATTACAACAGGAGACACAGGGGACAACAACAGATAACACTGAGAACAATTACAGACGAACCGACACAGACAAAGGGAAGCACAGATACTAAACAGACACAAGGGAGGCAAGGGTGATTGAACACAGATGAAACACATTAGGGCGGGGCAGACGATGAACAAGCAGGAAAACAGGACAAAGACAGGAAGTAAAAACATTGAGACACACAAGGAAACCAACTACAAAATAAAACAGGAAGTGACAAAAATCCAAACATAATGTCAAACATAAAATTTCTGCCATGGCAAACCATGACAGATACAGCATTCACACTATTGTTATTAATAAAGAGAAACTGACAACAACATAGAGTGGGATTGGTGGGATCGCTGATTAAGAGGAACATTTTTGACCTGACAACAACATAGAGTGGGATTGCTTCATTCAGCAATCCCACCAAAAAACGGAATGTTCGTTTTTCGACCTGACAACAACAGATAGTAGGATTGCTTCATGCAGCAATCCCACCAATCAGATGCTGTTTAGAAAAGTACAGCATTCTCCAAAATTCATCTGTATGATCGGGTTTGTGTCGACCCGGGAGAATTTAATTTTACAATTTACATTTCATGACTTACATTTAATTCACTCAATGGAGTCTGTCATAGATCACCTAACTGGCAGCCTATTAGCCACAGTCTGTTGTAGCTGTACCTGTTGTAATGTAGGTATGAGAGGATATCCACTGTCCCCCAGCAAGTGACATCCAGTTGGAATATGATCCTTTCATACAGCTGCCTCAGGACACTCTTAATTAAGATCCAAGAATCATGTGTACATCCTGGACATTTTGCAACAATGTCTACAACTGTGCAGGCAGCATCCAATACAACCTGTGTGTTAATTGTGTGATTTTTTTTGTCTTGTTTACAAATATGTCCTTATGTCCTTGCATTGGTGCAATATTCTTTACAAGCTTCCATCTATGACACCAATCACGGCGGGTAGACTGACCATGGCAGGCACGGCGTCAGGATTTCAATTTTGGATTTGGATTCAATTTAGTTTTCGAACAGAAACAACTGATATCCTGCGCTGGAGGGCCATTAGTTTGATTATGACACTTTTATAACCTGTTTTAACATTCAATTGCAAGATAGATTATTATTTACCCCTGGCAATTACTTTGTATTTAAGAGAGAAAAATAATATTCTATTTCATATTTAACAAGTCTCGTCTGTATGTCTCATCTCACATCGGTCTGTGTTTCTGATTTAGTCGTATCTTTTTAGGGTTGACGCTTGTTGTGTCAGACCCAAGAAGACTTGAGGCTGTAATTGCTGCCAAAGGTGCTTCACCTAAGTAGTTTGCTTTTTGTTTTGTTATTATACAGTATTGAGTGTAGATAGATGAGGAAAAAAATTATTTAAATGATTTTAGCATAAGACTGCAACATAACAAAATGTGAAAATAGTGAGGAGGTCTGAATACTTTATGAATGTTCTGTATACACTCTTGTTTTTTTTTTTTTAAAGGCTTTTTTTTAAAGTATGTAGACATAATCACAGTGCACACTTAGAAACAATGAATATAAAAAGTAATAGAAAAAAAAAATAGAAAATTTCATTCAATTTTCAACATTTATGTTTTTCATTTGACAAAATTTGTAGATGTGTAGAGAAAATTTATAAAATATAGATACATTTTTTTCCGGCACAAATTATTTTCAACAGTGAAGTTACACAAACTCTGGGCCTGTGACACCTTATATTCTCCTGTTAATTCATTTTAACCACCAGGATGGTGGTTCTTGAACTTTTGCAGTTGCAGAGTTCAATTAAGTTAACAAGCCTGTTCCAGTGACAGGGTCTTACTTGTGAATCAGAGCTCTGTAGGCAGTGAAGTAAGGGATCCCGATGGCTGCTCCCTGTGTGAAATCTAAAGTGTCAGGCAGTTTGTGGACACAGTCTTCAGCTGCTACAGTGAACTCTGCATAACCTCCAGACTCTGTTGCTGTGGTGAAAACTCGATCTCCTGCCTGGCAAACACACACATACAAATTAAATGCATAGATGGAATAAATTTGCTGTAATAATAATAACAGCAGTCTGCCAGCTGTTAATTAAACAAGGTGACTGCTACCAAAACACACTGTTGTCTCAGGCACCTTTCTGTCACCATGTATGATCTACAGTCTGTACTTGGAATTTAAAAGGTTGTAAGTGCAACTCGATGACATCCAGTTGTAAATGTACTGACAAGCCTGTTAATGATAGTTGAAAACTATAACTTCTAAAACTAAAAGTTTACCTTATATCCTGTGGTGTAAACTGACATCTATTTTTGGCTGGACCAGGGTCTAGCACTACTTCCCTGTGAGTGAGCGATAGAGTGAGTTACACCATTAGTTAATCAGACTCAAACTGGTGCTGCTCTCTGGGATTCTGGTTTGTAAACAGTCATGACTACCAGTGGTGAACGCAACATGGATAGCAAATTACAAGCTTGACCTTGTTGTCTTTGCTAGCAGCTGTTGTGCAGTTAAATTCTGCATTTTAATGATGCTACAGCTGCCTTTGCTGTTCCTAGTTCATAGCATTTTCTGTAACTAACCAACTGCAGAGTAGACAATCTGCTTCCTGTATACACTGGCACATACATGCCCAGTGTACATTAATGATCATTTCCAGGCGTGTTAGTATGGACTGAGATTATTTCTGAAACACTTGTCTTGACGGAGATCCTTTTTGTTTTTTACTCAAAGGCCATCTTAATTCTCTTTAAATATGAATTCCATCATGCCCGTGGTGCTCTACTCAGACCTTTACTGCAACAACTCCCTCTCCAACAGTTTCCACCACCCCAGCTACATCAGTGCCCGGTGTGTAGGGCAGAGTGGGTTTACGGGCATACGTCCCAGCACGAATGTAAGCTTCCACTGGGTTCACTCCACAGGCATGAACACGGATCAAAACCTAGAGTGGAGACACATCATGGAAGAGCAACAAATCAGACAAGACAGTTAAAAACTAACAAGTGATCAATTTTGGACAGATAAATACATATGTAAAAATACTTGATGATATTGTGATGTGATATTTACAAATAGGTCCAGCAGAACAGACAAAATATATTTAGGGCCCAAGCACAAAACCATTCTCTAACTCCAGCACACCTTGTCCGAACTGCCCCAAACATTATATGTTTGAAGCCAGAAGACATCTATATGGGTGTCAAGATTGGGTGTGGTAAAATGGCTCATGGGCACTGCCCCGCCCCCCCCCAGAAAATTTCAACAAAGTAGCCCCCGCAGTACCTTTCACCTAGATGTATGAAAATTGGTAGGCATATATAACACATGGAGCCTCTTGGAGCCATATCCTACCTAAACCCAACCAGAAGTCCACCATTTTTAATTTAGTGTGCAATTTTGTTGCATTTTTCCCCATTTCCAGGAGTCAGAATTATGCTAAATTACAAAGCGGCCAATGGCGGTGTGGCAAATTTTGCCAACTCCAACATATATTATGAAAACTGCCCCAAACAATATATATTTGATAAGACTCCCAGCCTGAAGACATCTAAATGCCAATATTCAGTTTTAATCATAGTGCCCCCTTGTGGTAGGAAATGTCATGTTTTACACTTTGATGAAGTCCTCCTAGCAGGTTGACCACATCTACCTGAAACTTGGTCGGGAAATGTTTAAGAATTTGATGCATAATGGTGGAAAACTGTGACTGGCAGTTTGTTGAATGGCCTGCCTGTGGTGGCGTGGCGAATGTCAACGTTTCGCCATGAAAGATCAACTCGCTAAAACTTCAGCATGTATTGTCCAAACTGCCCCAAACCGAACATGTTTAATAACAGTCACATAACAGTCAACACATCTACATGCCCATAACAAATAATAGTCATTGCGCCACCTAATGGCAAAATGAAAGATCTTGTTTTACTATTTCATTTACTTCTCAGGTTGTCCAGACCCTCCTCAAACTTGATCAGAAAATACTTCAACCTTGGCCTTGATGATGGTTTGGTGCAAATATTGTGAGTTTTCATTCATGGGTGTGGCTCTGGTGGCATGGTGAATTCCAAACAGGAAATGGTTGTAAGTCTATATATATATTGTCTAATCTGCCTCAAACTTGGTTGGAAAATACTTCTGTTCTTGATGATGCAATATTGCGAAAATTGTGAGTTTTCATTTAAGGGCATGGTTCTTGTAGCGTGGTGAAATTTGAAAAAGGAAATTCCTTTAATTCAATTATACATTGTCCAATCTAGCTCAAACTTTGTCAGTAAATCCAATATAGCTCATGCTATATTGCTAAAATTGTGAATGAATTGTGAATTTTCATTTAAGGGTGTGGCACCACAGTGAATTTTGTAACAAGAAGTGGTTGTAACTCTATTATACATTGTTCAATATTCCCCAAAATTGGTGACAATATGCTTTACACCTAGATGATGCTTTAATGTGAATATTGGCATGGCTCCTGTGGCGCGTTGAATTGAGATGTTGAGTTTATAATGGGTGTGTATTGCACGGAATGTTCAGGGCTAGAGTGGATGACATCATCGCTATAGTGGGAGAAGCTCTAAAATTCGTCAGAAAAAAATCTGTGTAACTCGTCCTTACGGCCACATATTTCAATCTTGACATATAATTACTTCCTCATTAGTAGACAAATTTGTCCTGTTTCATACAATGTGTCTTAGCACAGAGACTTACAGAATTTGAACATGAGCCTCAAAACAATAGGAGTACCCGCCACCTCCCATTTAATGCAATACAAATTCAGGAGCTGATTTCCCCAGAAATGCATACAAAATGACATTTTTCTGCAACTCGCTCCTGTGACCACATTTTTAGCTCTAGAAACACCAAAGCCAGATATGCAGTGCATGAAGATCTTGTGCCGTCCATGGTCCGCTCATGGTTCTGATAGGTCACTGGAAAGGCTCGGCAAGCCAAAATCACACCCAGATCTGAGTCAGCTCTGTGTCTTTCAGCTAGACACAGGTGTTCGAAAAAGCTTGTTAAGAGACTCTTTGATCTCTGTGATTCTTACAAAGACAGCCACACAGACACACACACAGACAGACAGACAGACAGACAGACAGACAGACAGACACACACACACACACACACAGACAGACACACACACACGTGCAGAAAGCTGTTTACAAATTAGTGCTCATAGAGTGGGATTACAAGTGTACAACAGTAAATACAGCAGCAGACATATTGAATTTACTTTGAGCTTTGAGCTACAGAAACTGTTCAACCATCATAGTAGCTCTCCCATAGACTGCAATACACACACACACACACACACACAAACACACACACACACCACCACCACCCTTCACCACCCCATTTTTATCACTAAAGGTAGGCTTAATAACAGAAACACCTCTGTATAATGTAAATTACACTACATCCTCCACAGTGATCAATTGAATCAACAACTATCTAAATGTATTTTAATAAGAAATTGCCAACCGAGTATATTAGCAATTATCAGGTGTATGCTCAGGCGCCAAAGTGCCTAACTACAATTAATTGGTTCATTTCGTTGCTGTTCTCACCTGGGAACTGATATATCTGGTAACCTAAAGATGTTCTTTCATTTTATAGTTTTATCATATATTATTTACATTACATTTTATGAGTAATACATGTCTACTGTTATAAAATGTGGTCTACTTCATAGAACTACAATCTGCTTACATAGAATATTGCACAATGCTATTGTGGCATATAGGATATTGTTTGCCCACTGACTTGTCTCTGTGTGTTATCTTATAGAATATGCACTTTATTTTATATCTTTGCAAATAACCCCCATTTAATTTAATACATTTTTGATTCAAGTACAAGGCACTGGAGCAACTGTGGGTAGGAACAGGCAGGTGTTGTAGTCAGGATTTATTACAAGAAAGTATGAAACTGAAATGGACATAAAAAAATACAGAAAGACATTCATCAATAAACAATATAGAATAGCTTGTCATATATACAGGTTAACCATGGATGTATTACAGAGCTCTATAATACATCCATGAGGTTAACGCACAGGTAAACAAAGCAACTTCCTGGTACATCACTTCCTGTTGCTTGCTATTGGCTGAGGCTGCAATACCAAGGATAAATGGCCTGGAATTTCTAGCAGTAAATAAACAGTTCCAATACAGGTTGTTTATCAAATGTTGTCAATCTAACATGTGACAACACATCAATACGGGCTGTGGCTGTTGGGTGTTGCTGTTGATTTTGTTTAAATATGCCGATTTGTAATGTTATGGGTTATTGTTTTCCAGACGATTGAGCTAAGCTAGCTAACTTATGCTAACGCTAGCTATCGCGTGTTGCCATAGCAACAGTAAACATTCACGTAAGGGCTAATGGGATGTAAATAGAGGACTGTTGTAAATACAGATTAGATAGGTTGTAATTTAGCACCTCGTCTCGTCTCGTCGTCTCCCGCTTATCCGGATCCGGGTCGCGGGGGCAGCAGCCTCAGCAAAGAGGTCCAGACAGCCCTCTCCCCAGCCACTTCCACCAGTTCCTCCGGGAGAATCCCGAGGCGTTCCAAGGCCAGCCAAGAGATATAATCCCTCCAGCGTGTCCTTGTTCGGCCTCGAGGCCTCCTCCCGGTGGGACATGCCCGAAACACCTCCCCGGGGAGGCGTCCAGGAGGCATCCTCACCAGATGCCCGAACCACCTCAACTGGCTCCTCTCGACATGGAGGAGCAGCGGCTCTACTCCGAGTCCCTCCCGGATGACTGAGCTCCTCACCCTATCTCTAAGGCTGAGCCCGGCCACTCTGCGGAGGAAACTCATTTCGGCCGCTTGTATTCGCGATCTCGTTCTTTCGGTCATTACCCAAAGCTCATGACCATAGGTGAGGATTGGAACGTAGATCGACTGGAAAATCGAGAGCTTCGCGTTCCGGCTTAGCTTCCTCTTCCCCACAACAGACCGATTCAGCGCCCGAATCACTGCTGACGCCGCCCCAATCCGCCTGTCGATCTCCCGCTCCATCCTACCCTCACTCGTGAACAAGATCCCGAGATACTTAAACTCCTCCACCTGAGGCAAAGCCTCCCCCCTGACCTGGAGTGGGCAATCCACCCGTTTCCAGCTGAGAACCATGGCCGCAGACTTGGAGGTGCTGATCTTCATCCCAGCCGTTTCACACTCGGCCGCGAACCGCCCAAGCGAGAGCTGAAGGTCGGCGCTCGATGAAGCTAAGAGGACCACATCATCCGCAAAAAGCAGAGACGAGATCCTCCCGCCACCGAACCCAAACCCGTCCACCACCCGGCTGCGCCTAGAAATTCTGTCCATAAAAGTTATGAACAGAACCGGTGACAAAGGGCAGCCCTGGCGGAGTCCAACCCTCACCGGGAACAGGTCCGACTTACTGCCGGCTACGCGAACCAGACTCACACTCCTTTGGTACAGGGATTTAATGGCCACTAACAAGGGGCCATCCACCCCATACTCCCGGAGTGCCCCCCACAGGGAGCCCCTGGGAACACGGTCGTAAGCCTTCTCCAAATCCACAAAACACATGTGGACTGGATTGGCAAACTCCCATGCTCCCTCCAGCACCCTAGCGAGAGTAAAGAGCTGGTCCACAGTTCCACGCCCAGGACGAAAACCACATTGCTCCTCCTCGATATGAGGTTCAACTATCGACCGGACCCTCTTTTCCAGTACCCTGGCATAGACCTTACCAGGGAGGCTGAGGAGTGTAATTCGCACGGTAGCTTGGAACACACTCTCTGGTCACCCTTCTTAAGATGGGCACTGCCCCCGATGCCACGCAATATTGCAGAGGCGTGTCAACCAAGACAGCCCTACAACATACCAGAGCTTTGAGATACCATGGCGGATCTCATCAACCCCCGGGGCTCTGCCACCGGCACAGTTGGTTTCACTACCTTGGCGACTTCTGCCCG